GGGGCATTCCTGTCTTACGAATTTACTAACTTTTTTCACTAAGGTGTTTGAGGACGTAGATCATGGTAATGAATATGATATTGTGTATATGGACTTCAGTAAGGCTTTCGATAGAGTTCCACACCAGAGGCTATTGAGGAAACTTAAGGCACACGGAATAGGAGGAAAATTTTTTCCTGGGTAGAGGCATGGCTGACAAATAGACAGCAGAGAGTTTGCATAAATGGGGAGAAATCAGAATGGGGGCACGTCACAAGCTGTGTTCCTCAGGGGTCAGTGTTGGGCCCGTTGTTGTTCACAATTTACATAAACGACATAGATGAGGGAATAAATAGCGACATAAGCAAATTTGCTGATGACACCAAAATAGGCCGTCCAATTCATTCATTATGAGGACACTAGAGCACTCCAGGATGATTTGAATAGACTGATGCAATGGTTGGAGAAGTGGCAGATGCAGTTTAATATAGACAAATGCAAAGTTCTAAATGTTGGACAGGTAAATAACCATGTCACATATAAACTAAATGTAGATATTAATACTACTGATTGAGAAAAGTATTTAGGAGTTCTGGTTAGCAGTAATCTAAAACCAAGACAACAGTGCATTAGTGTTCGCAATAAAGCTAACAGAATTCTTGGCTTCATATCTAGAAGTATAAATAATAGAAGTCCTCAGGTTGTTCTTCAACTCTGTATATACTTGGTTAGGCCTCATTTAGACTATGCTGCTCAGTTCTGGTCACCGTATTACAGAATGGATATAAATGCTCTGGAAAACGTACAGAGGAGGATGACAAAGATGATCCCATGTATCAGAAATCTTCCCTATGAGGATAGACTGAGGGCTCTGAATCTGCACTCTCTCGAAAGGCGTAGAATTAGGAGGGATATGATCGAGGTGTATAAATGGAAAACAGGAATGAATAAAGGGGATGTAAATAGCGTGCTGAAAATTTCCAGCCAAGGCAGGACTCGCAGCAATGGTTTCAAGTTGGAAAAATTCAGATTCAGAAAGGATATAGGAAAGCACTGGTTTGGTAATAGAGTTGTGGATGAGTGGAACAAACTCCCGAGTACAGTTATTCAGGCTAAAACGTTGTGTAGTTTTAAAAATAGGTTAGATAAATACATGAGTGGGTGTGGGTGGGTGTGAGTTGGACCTGACTAGCTTGTGCTGCTGAGTCTGGTACAGTGCTCCATCCTTGAGTGGAGGTGACCAGACTGGGTGGGTCATTGGTCTAATCCGGGGGGGGGACATGGACCTGCTCCGCATGGGTCAGAAGGCCTGTTGCAGTGTTCCTTCTTTCTTATGTTCTTATACTTCACGATGGGTCTCTCATAAGTTTTGTATATCCTAATTTAATTTTTAAGAGCCCAGAAACCATTTTTTTTTAATTCTGCATATCCTTGTTAATTTATACGATTGATCCTCTTGTATATACCTGTGTTATGTTTGCTAGAAAGTTAAGTAGCTTTCTCCCCTGTACCTACTCCTGTACATTACTAACATTACTCTTTGTTCTTCCAATTTGCAAAGCAGCCTCGTATGTGGTATTGTATTAAGTGCTTTCTTGCAGTCTGAGAACTCTATCCTGCCCCTGCAGAACTGTTCCACCTTCAGGAATAGTTCTGTATACCATCCATTGATTGAATTCCCCCACGATCAGTAGTTTTGCATTCATTCCATTTAATTTGTTTTGCTTCCTCCAGGATATTTATTGTTGCTTCGTCGTTCCCTCATAATCCTGTCTTGGCCATCTTGTGTTTTGTGCTTTGTCAACATTTGTTGCTTCTTCCTGTTTCCCAGGGATCCAGCTGCGCAGTCTGTCAGGGCACCACTATCAACCTCACATACCACTATAAATCCTTGACACCACTATGAAGGTTATTCACCTCATCAGAACTCTTCTCGTCTTGAATCACAAGTGTTGTCCCTTCCCCCCCTCACCTCTCTGTCTCTCTTTCTCTTTCTCTGTCTCTCCGTCCTCTCTCTCTCTCCTCTCTCTCTCTCTCTCTCTCTCTCCGTCTCTCTCTCTCTCTCTCTCTCTCTCTCTCTCTCTCTCTCTCTCTCTCTCTCTCTCTCTCTCTCTCTCTCTCCTTCCCCTTCCCCTTCCCCTCCCCCTCCCTCTCCCTTCCATCAGTCGTCGCCCAGGCAACCAGGGCCCTGGGACTCTGCACATTATGGCTAAAGTTAACTTGTGATACTGAGCTTGACTCTATGATTATTATTGATTCTATGTTATCGCTGAAGACTCTTAATTCATACAATGACTTCAACATGTTCATTAAAGAAGCCAGATATAGATACTAAAAAAAATTCCTGGAAAAAGGAAATAATCCATAATTGTTATGGATTCCATTACACATTGGATTACTCCGTGGTAAAGTTGCTACATTAGCCAGAAATTAACCTGAAGGAAAATGTAGAATTTAACTTAAGTGTGTCTGTCTAGCATTAGTACTAGTACTCCCGTAGCTCTATCGCTAGCGCTCTCAGCTCACACACTGATGTCCGGGGTTCGAATCCCCTCCGGTACGGCTACCTGGAGGTTACCTGGAGGTTACCTGGAGGTTATTCCGGGGATCAACGCCCCCGCGGCCCGGTCCATGACCAGGCCTCCCGATGGATCAGGGCCTGATCAACTAGGCTGTTACTGCTGGCTGCACGCAGTCCAACGTACGAGCCACAGCCCGGCTGATCCGGCACTGACTTTAGGTATCTGTCCAGCTCTCTCTTGAAGGCAGCCAGGGGCTTATTGGCAATTCCCCTAATGCTTGATGGGAGGCTGTTGAACAGTTTTGGTCCCCGGACACTTATGGTGTTTTCTCTTAGTGTACCAATGGCGCCCCTACTTTTTATTGGGGGCATTTTGCATCGCCTGCCCAGTCTTTTACTTTCGTAGGGAGTGATTTCTGTGTGCAGATTTGGGGACATTCCTTCTAGGATTTTCCAAGTGTAGATTATAATACATCTCTCTTACTAAAACCCCAACACGTCTCCTTTCTTGTAATGCTAGTGGTCCCAACATGCATCTCTCTATATAATGCTAGTGGCCCCAGCTCATTTCCATCCTTAAATTACTGGTACACTTTTACCTTTCAAGGGTTTCCAGAGTTTTTCTTACTCCCGCCACTCGACTTTGGGTCAGGCTTGTCTGATGCTTGCATGATCAACCAGGTTATTGTTGGCGGCCTACATATCCATCACAGCCTTGTTTATTTGGCACTTGCCACAGCTACTTGTCAGGTGTCCTTTTGGAGACTTCTACACTTATTAAGGTAGTGTATCGCTGATAAGGTGTTAAATAGTCTGGGACTACGTATGCTGATACAATGTTCTCTTAGTGTGCCCACGGTGCCCCTGCTGTTTGAGTTTGTTTTACATGTATATTTTTACGGCAGTGTGCAGATTTCTGACCGGTCCCTCGAGTGACTTGCTTATATTATCATGCATCTATCTCTTCTGCTTCAGCATTTGCATATTGAGGATTCTGAAGCATTCACAGTAGTTTATTAAATGCTTTATTGGCTCTAGACAAGCCTTAAATGATCTCTGTTTCTGTTCCACCTCTGATCTCTGTTGACCTGAACAATACTCTAAGCGAGAGAACACGAACAATTAAAATAGTGTGACCAGTACCTCTATTTCCCACCAGTAGCCACATTATCCACCCTATCATTTTCTTGGCTGTCGCGATATTTCCCTTATTGTGTTCTTTTACAAAAAGATCGGCTGACATTATTACATCCAGGTCTTTCACATGTTCGTGTTATTCTGTCTGGTGATCTTGCATTTTGCATACAGTGCCCCTTTAGAGTTCATTATTTCATATCCAAGTAGTTGGAACTTGTCACCATTGAACGTCAGGTTATTCTTCTCTGACCATTGGAAAACTTCGCCCATATCTTCTTGTAGTTTGTGTCATTTAGCGAAGTGATTTTGATACTTATTTTGATTTTATCCGCAGATGTTACGTGTGGCGAGTGTTTTTTTTTTTTTCTCCTCTCTCCGCTGTGATAATAAGAAACAGTAAAGGTGCCAACTCCGTGACTTGGGGTACTAAGCTTTTTACTTTGGTAAAGCTGGATTTTGCTCGGGTTACTACAATTCCGTGTTAAGCAACTGAAGATTCATTTGCCTACTTTCCCCGTTATTAAATTATGGCCTTTATTTTGCGTGTTATCACCCTGTGATCGTATTTATCAAGTGTCTTTTCGAAATCCATGCATTGTACGTGTATACTAATTTTGAGGTTTGGTTTTCTTTTAACACCTCAAATTCTGTTATAGTGGTTTGGTAATTGTGACAGCCATTATCTTACAGCCCTAAATCCATGCTGGTTCGATTAGATTTTGCCACTGAAGTGGCTAGTTTATTGTGCACCCCGTATCCATCCTTTGGATGGTAGCGCGAGAGCATATGGATACACAAAAGGCCTAGGAACTAGGCCCCAAAGGGTTAACAGGAATACATATGGATTTATATCTACATATCTATAGTTCACTTATCTGTTACAAACAAATTTAGGAAATTTGCTTAGTAGATCTGGTATGCTGGTTCGGATTGTGTTGTTTCATAAAATTTATAATTAGGTGTCTATCACCATTTCAGAGGCTTTTATGATGTGTGAAGTTAAGGTTGTTGGTCTGCAATTTTTGGCTAACACACAAAGGACTTAAGAACATTGGTCAAAACTTTCCGAGGTTCCAAGAACATTGGGCAAAACTTTGAGGTTCCTTACCAAGGCTTGTCACACTACCAACAGCATGTTGCCAGCTGACATATCATAACAATATATTAATTATATATTTTCACTTATTTTTGCTTATTTCTGTAGATTTATTATTGTGAAAAGACATGGACACTTTATTAAATAACCATTTTTGATGAACATTTATGTTTAATGCTGTATGTATTCTCCTGACGAGTTCATGTATTAACTTGTAAAAGTTGTATCGTGGCAGTGCAGTATTTTTTAGTAACTTCATGTATTACAGGATTGGTGAGGCTGTGGCGTGTAGGTAGGTGGGGCAGGGGCACCAGGGCCCTCATAACACTCATCATGGGGGCATCCTTGTGCATGCTGGTACTGGCCCTCTCGCCCCACCCTGATGCCTCTACCACCGTAGTTCCCTGCATGGAGTCCGCCGCATCCACCAGGAGACAGACGACTATACTGGTCCCAAGCACTCAGGCCTGGCACCACTAGATGACTCGCAGCTCTCTATGTCTGGTTACTCTGAGCAAGAAGCAGTGGAGAACCTGCATCAGACCGTCCCTCAGCCTGCAGCTGCACCATCATCGTCTGGCACCTACAGTCTGCCACTGCTCTCACAACCCCAGGTTTCCCCAGCACCTGACACTCAGGTCAGTCACATTCTACAACAGTGTGTATACTCAGTTATATAATCATGGGGAAGTGTTTAACCCGTGGAGGTCATGCAGTGAAAAGGAATGGGCGGTATAAACTTACGCAGCTAGTATTTCTTGAATCAAATGACCTTGATGTCAACTTTCTCAGATATGGTGACTGTTAGTAACTTAAAGCTGAACCAAGTTTTCCAAAACAGAATTGAAATGGAAAATATATTAAGAATAATTGTGATCAAAACTTAAATGTCTAGTATTGAATGACATGAATAGAATGGCATATACAGAAGAGTGCTACTTTAATACTTGTAGTAACTTAAGTTTAGCGCTTCCCTCTTGATTATAAAAAATAATAATTGCTGTGTGATAGCAATAGTACTGAGTGTTATAAACTTTTAATGCAGTTAAAGCCTAGTGCTGGGGTGGGCAAGTTCTTCTATAAGAAGAACCACACATAAAATACTTTTCATACATTTTTGAATGTTCAAAAGTCACAAAAAATATTTTAAAATTGTATTTATAAATAAAAATACGACTATATAACAGGCTATTTTCTTGAGTGGCTAAATTAGATTTAATTTTTTTTTTATTTTTTCACAGTTCTGATTCAGGAGAAAATTCAGGTGCAAATTTTTTATAGTTACATTCTTGATGACACTTTAAATTACTGGCTTTAAAGTGGCTGATGATTGTATAATAGATAAGGCACAAAACTTTTCACCCGTAACAGTAAAAGCAAAATCATCCTCCCATTGTATTAAAACA